TATATTTTTATGCCCCCGTAATCGAAGATTTCGGGGGCATATACTTTTTGCCCTGTCCGTCTGTCTGTCTCTCTATCTGTCTGTCTGTCTGTTTGTCCGCAAAAACTTTAACTTTGCCCATAACTTTTGATTGGTTGGAGCTATTCCACATGTGTATTTCATGTGACAAGACCTTTCTCTGGGTACCATCAAATTTGACCTTGACCTTGGAGTTTGACCCATTTTTGCTAAATTTTATCAGACTTTAACCTAAGCCATAACTTTTGAATAGTTGGTGCTAGGGCTTTCAATCTTCACATGTATATACCTTGTGACAAGTCCTTCCTTTGGATAGCAACAACTTTGACTATTTGACCTTGACCTTGGAGTATGACCTACTTTAGAAAAAACGTTAACCTTGGCCGTAACATTTGAACATTTGGTTCTAGGGCTTTCATAGTTCACGTACATGTGTATCACTTGTGACAAGACCTTCCCTTGAGCACCATTTGACCTTGACTATGATGTTTCACTTACTTTTGAAAAACTTTAACCTTCGCCATCACTTTTAAGCGGTTGGTGTTAGGGTTTTCATATTTCACCGGTATATTCCTCGAGACAAGACCTTTCTTTGGGTACCAACATTTTTTATCTTTTGACCCGGAGTTTGACTTGCATTTGAGAAACTTTAACCTTCTCCATAAGCTACCATACGGGGGCATCAGTGTTTCACAAACACATCTTGTTTTTTTGGTTATGTAATAATTGTAATGATTTTTCTTTATGGTAAATATGTGATTTTGGTAAACAATTGTTTGGGCTATCGTTTTAAGCAAGGCTAGATTTGATGTCGCTAAAGTACGAAGACGATGCCCTTCAAGTTGCTTTCTGTCTCATTGATCTATTGCCATCTTAATGTTTCAACGCAATCCATATGTCTCTTATATCGGAGTTATCAGTGAATCACACTAGATCTAAGGTCCGTTTTATATTAAGATTCTTGGAATATTTCTGTCTTGCTGGTCCCTGAAGGATTTGTTAACACCATTTTGAGGTCAATCCATTGCAACTTTAGTTCCCTTAATGTCACATTAAATAAACGCTATACCAAACAACTCAATCTAAATCAAACGATAAGCAGTCAAATAATCCTGCTTCCAGTCGATTGACTTCTATATTTAGGAACTGATGTTCCATATTAGTTTTTTTAATCATTTTTTTTTATTTACTTATTTTCAAACTTAAACAATGCATGTTTCTACGTAACAGCAGAATATAGATAATAATTACTCCTTTCTAAACTATACTTCTTCATTAAGTTATGTGATTTGCTACACTGTTATCACATTTTGAGAAAGTTCTTCCACTTTGTCCATATTTGCTAGAATGCACTGATTCCTACATATCTTTCTGACGCAGACAGACTAGATTTAATATTAATGTAAGGATATAAACAAACAATAAACCAACTAAAACAACATGGACATCCAAGACAAAATATGTCTTCTAAATGGTAAATACATAAACTGTCGACAACGGATAGAAATCTATGGTTGTATTGATTCTTAGCCAGGACCCGAAACACCAAGGGCGTCTGATATATTTGATGGAATGAGAAAAGGAGGGTGTCAAATTTACTGCACAGAAAGCAATGTAAAGCTCATCTAGACTTAAAAAGCTTGCTTCTAAAATCGATTTGCTACAAGGTATTTACAAATAAAAAATCATCGCAAAAGAAAAAAAAACGGTAACAGTAATTAGACTCCTTGCATGATGCACTTCTGTGATGAAAGGTAGCAAACGGTGCTATCAATTAGAGGACTTCTTTAGAGAACCAAAATGACAAGGTGCCTCAGAAACATTGATTTCGCTTCCATAAAAACATTTCTCGTTTTGTTTTATCCGAAATAAAAGTAACTTCAGCTTGATGGTGACTATACTAGCAGTTTTATCCTTTATGGAAAGATTAAAAGTTTTACTGATTGTCAGTTTTTTTTCTTCCCATTTTGACAAAACAATGATGCTCTCTGATCTCTCGTACTTTTTAAAAATATCGATTTTATCAAAGATAATTGTCTTAGCGTGAAGGAGAAATATATATTGAAAACAAGTCCAGCGGCAAAAATCAAATACATCATACAGAAATGGAAGCGATATAATGAATGCAAAGCGTAGTACATCTTTAAAAAGTAAATATAGATAGATGAATGTTGATATTACATGAATGGCTTCAAGAACGCATACAGTGAATTAAGTTGTCTGAAGTATCTTTTTGTAATTCTTATTGCTCAGTAAATATATAAAAATAGAAAGGTTCTGCATCAAATATGAAGATAACGAAAAAAGTAATCATGCTCAAAAAATCCAATAAAACAATACAGACTGTGAGTAAACACGGACCTATGAAAACATCAGAGGTGGGATCAGGTCCCATGGAGGAGTAAGCATCCCCTGTATACCGGTCACATTTGAAAAGAGAGAGAGAGGGAGCATCATGGCCAAGTGCTGACCGAAATTATACAGGTACTTCTAATCTTGAACACAGAAATGTGCATTTCTGTGTTTTCACAATAGTGTGTGAACTTTACCTGACTTGTCAATGCTTCGGAAATGATATATAAATATTTTCGGAATTGATAAGAATTTTTTTTCGGTAATGCGATATCTATCGATTTTCGATAAAGCAAAACTGCGATTATTTCCACTTTTAAACGAGATTGCTTTGCAGAGATACATTTTACTTTTTAAAAAAAACTTTCAAACATGTTTTAAAGCCTATAACTAATTTGATATAAAAGATTTCTTATGTCTATCTGTTGTTAGCTTATGCGTGCAGTTGATAGATTAATTAATACCGTTTGAACCTAAGCACCTATAACTTTGTTCGTTTGGAGTATATTCAACTACAGGCCTTGACACGTAAACCATTCAATATTTCTTTTCTAGGTCAACCATCCCAAAATAAAATGGCGGTAGTAAATATTCTAGATCTGGTTTTCATTTTTTAAAAAAATTTAAATGATTGATGCAATATATACAAAACTTTGTTATGTTTTCTGCTAATTCAAACAATGCATTGTTATTAAATAAACTATGAGAATTGATCGCCTTAAAAGCCACTAAAATACACAAGTGCCTTTTGTACACTGGGCGTTTATACTTAATTAAACACTGACTTAATCTATATTTGATATTATTTCAACAACACATCGCATTTTCTAAAACTGTATTGCAAGTCCAGAACTTTACAGATCTTTTAGGCGCACACATGTACAATTTCTAGATTTAAATTTTAAAAATGTCTAAATTCTTACTTTTGGATACAATGACAATATATTATTTTTGATGTGTATATTATTGAAAAGTTTGCATCATATCGATAGGAAATTGAGACCGAAATACATAATATACACAAATACGTTGACAACGTAATTCATGAACTGGAATATGCTATGCAAGTTACGACGAAATGAAAACAATATTAAAACATTGTTTTAAATTAAAGTTTCTACAAGATAAGATGGAGGTGGATCAGGCGTTGTGGTTCCATTAAATTCTGTACATATGCAATGTATCAATCGAAAGCATGGAATCTGAATGTTCCTGACAATTCTTTAGTGGCGAAAATTCAGCAAAATGAAAAAAAGGATTTTCTTCAGAATGATGTTACTAGTAGCCCCTGAATTATTTCAGCTACGCTTCTTTCCAAATGACAAAGAAAAATTAATGAATGAATGTTCACTTTCAAAATAAGTAAATTTCTTAAACATGTTTTTATGATGCTTTGAACAAAACAAAAGATCGTCGCTGTTTAAACCTTGGCAATTTGTGCCAACTGTTTGCCAACATTGAGTTTTATTGACCAGAATTGACATTTTGTAGCAAGTAAAATCGTTAAGCAATCCTTTTTCCGCCACTGTTAATTACTTTAGAGAATTCTGTGGAAGCCACAGGTGCGAAATTTTGTTCACGGGCTCATTTTAAGAATTGTCAGTGTATATTGTAATCAATAGTGAACGAAAACCTTACCTTTACCATCAAAAGAATGTAATAAAAACTAATCAGAAAAAAATGATGGACAAAATGATTAAGCTGCTCTATATATTTTACTGTAGCTTGTTTTCTAATTCCTTCTGTTCTGTTAAATAAGTTACAGAGTATATGATGCTAGCATTTTAGTTACTAGTACTTCAATTACGTTGCGTTCTGAAATACTTTTTGAGATCTCGCCAGATGGCGTAGTTTGTACCTTTCCATCTCTCCTCCGATTATTAATCCTACATTTTGCGTATTATATGAGAGGATAATTGTTTTATTTTTTTATCTGATCTTCAAACAGGAAAGAGAAGTCATTATTCATTTTCAAAAAGCTAAGTTTAATGACAAACGGAATGGATCGATGGCATTGTTTGGGATAAATCATAGTACAGTCGGAATTTAGGAAATGGAGAATTGATTCTCGGTTTATAATTATAGAAGTTCAATCAACCGGAACGACGCACAGTTAGTAAGTATTACATGTATTTCAAGAAAATAAAAATCTTTTTTTCATGCAGATATTTTACTGTGATATTTCTTGCAAATATTAAAATACAGACTCTCTGATTGTGCTTTGGGTGTGCTGTATTTGCCTTAAGACCCTACTAATGAAACATATCTCAACTATCTTTGCTTTGAGTACGAATAGCCTAGCTGGAGCCTGAAGCAGGATACAATGTCATCGTGGCCTATTCAATTACACATCACTTTAATAGTTAAGAGAACAAACATGCAAATATTAGCATATTGTGTCACTGTCATGACACATAATTAATTAACTTTATCGACCGTCTGCTTTGTTAAACATTCTTCAAAGACAGAGACACAACAACAGTCAACTCTCGGCTCCATAGTTCTTGCCGCAGACAGATTGTCATTAATGTTCATACTTATTTTTGGCCACAAATGATGACAAATAAATAACGCTGTCTGAGGAAAAGGTCTTTTTTTGCAACGCTTGACTGACTACAAGTGATACTCACCTCTGGTCCAATATCCTGGGTGTTAATGCTTGTCACCAGCTGTGTGAGAAAACTGTCGAGTTCGCTTCCTTCGATAAATCCATTACCTTCAAACGAAAACTTACAGGTATCGACAGGTAATATTTAGATAAAGTTCAATATAAAGTTACAATGTTGTATCTTCTATACTCACCATCTGTATCATAATGATTCCAAACTTCCATAAACTGTTGTGCTGAGAGAAGTTTAAATTCTCGAGTTTTTAAATCTCTGAATTGCCGCAGAAAGTTTGAACTCTTATCCAACGACGTTGCCATGATCGAGTTTTACCTCAAGTATCAACTTCTCTTCAACTTTGCAGCCTCTTTTGACAGATGTAAACTGTCATTCGCGCATGCGCACTGCCAAATACTTTTTACTCAAGAGCAGGAGTAACAGGTGGCAAAATATACCACAAAAATATTTTAGTAAAGAGAGAATAAAACAGAAAACTTGAACCTGTGATCGATATTGATCCAGACAAGTTCTCTGGTCCGATGTGTGCCCTGCCTCCTGTATCGGCTTATTGACAAGCGACGGATCAAGTTTGCATTCATACAACAGTTTTGTAATTTTTATTGATTCAGATAGGAAAAAGGCGACAAGAAAGTATATGTCGTACAATTTTTGCCCTTCTACGTGCCCTTCTAAGCTTGTTGAATAGAAAATAAATAGTGGTTCTTTGCTTAATATTTGATATAGACAATTATATATCGTTATGATAAAAGTGTACTTTCACAAGGATTTTATCATTATTGTGCAAAGAAAAAAGTTCTCTATAGTATTTTAATCACGAGATCAGTTCAATCCACAGATACATTGCTGAATTATCAGACAGTAAATCAATATTAGGTAGTTTACTCCTATATATCCCAGAGGCATCAGAGAGCAAACAATGAACGGCAGGTAAATAGAACAGTTTCTCAAGCGCCTTCTGCATCTGTCTTCATTCCAAACTATACGTAGAAATGTTGCGAACTGATTTTGAAATAAGAAAAAGTTGATTTCTCAAGGACCCTCTCTACACGAAACGAAAATGTTTTTTGGACATTGAGAAAATTATATTGTATAAAAGTGTAAATATTGAGCTTATTAATATCATTTTCCAAATAGGGTGCCTGGCTTTTATCCCCAGGAAAAATGTTCAAAGTCAGCAAAGTTTTGATGACCAGAAATCACTGTTGTTTACCTAAGTGGGGAAAAAGCATGCAGATGAGGTGTTCAATTAATCTATCTTGGACTATCAAAATGTTAAGAATGCTTGAATTGATTAGAAATTGATTGATAAACTGTAAATTTCAATTTATTTTATTTTAGATCTAAGGGCAGATTACTCAATCTACATAAAAGTACCACAGAATCAGAACTCTTTAGTGTGCAGTTTATGGAGGGTTCTTAAACAAGACGAGTCTTGTAATACAGATGCAATTTCGGTAATTTCATTCATTATACATATCTATCTATCTATCTATCTATCTATCTATCTATCTATCTATCTATATATATATATATATATATATATATATATATATATATATATATATATATATATATATATATATATATATATATATATATATATATATATTATAGATTCGGGTTCTCTATATTGTCGATATTTCGGTCTATCCGTCTGTCACACTATCTTCTTCCTCAAACTCCTCTCATATTTTAGGCAGAAGCCATTCATGTTTTGGAAGATGACTGGTTTTGTTCTAAAATATGCAATAAGGTTTTTGAATTTACTTTTTCATCCTGGGCCACTGGGTGAAAAAAAAACTTGGTTCCCAGAATTCCTCTTACAATTTACGCAGTAGGTATATCATCTTTTGGAATATGGTTGAAAGCACGTGTTCTGAAGACCTGTAATAAGATTTCCAGATTTACGCTGTGGCCGTTTCATCATTTTAAAATATGGTTGTGGTGTCGCATATACAATTGGTGTAGATGTGCAATAAGGTTTCGGAATTTTTGTTTTCATTCAGGGGTTGTTTGAAACAGCTGAAAAACTTTTTCTACAAAAACCATATTCCTAGAACATTTACATATTATGCAGTAGCCAAATTATCTTTAGGAATAATTTTGTTAGTGTCCTGTGGATTCGCAATATGGTTTCAGAATTTTCATTTTCATCCAATTGGAGTCCAGAAATTTAAAACTCCCTTTTTAAAAAAAAATATCAGTCTTCCCAAAACTCCTTTTTAAACACAATTTTGTTTCACTAAAATCTTTAATTTCAGGTTGGTAGTAAATTTATTAAACGTAATACTAACAGAAAAGACCCATAGGCCATGTGCTTACCTAAGCATTTTGGCCCAATTTGATATATCACCCATTCTCAGCAATAATGTGCAATTAATGTCATGCACTTGTTACTCGATATCTAATAATATAAGAATGTTTTTCAGTACGAGCAAGTAAACATATGTTAAGGTCCGTAAACACCCACAAAAATTAGCAAAATCGGGAAAAGTCTTCTGAGATAAATACATGTACGTCTCTCAATACATGGAAACAATACATACTGTCGCCAAATCCGAAATTCAAAAATAAAACACAATTGAAAAACTTTAATCTAATAGACGTGTTTTTTCATGCACAGAAATTCAATGCACGACATATGAAATTCATAAATACCCATAAAAGCTAATGCTAAATCATCTGTAAATGACAATTTTTTTTGCATCATGTCATTGTCGCCAAGTTGTTCGATACCTACGTAACCCCATCATATAACTAAGCTTGTATACTATATTTATGCAAATACTTTTTCATTTTCAAGCAAATCAAACAGTAGACAACTTGTATAATCTTGTAAAATGGATCTGATATTTAATTTTATTGAAATATTTTCAAACGACGCACACACATTATGAAACTTCATCGGTTGTATTTTCGCCAATACATACGTTATACATCTTTCTAAAACTATATAGATGTGATAGGCCCTATTAATCGAGCTTATATTCTTGGAAAATGTTCATATTTTTTATTGCATACAAATTCGGATATCACTCTTAATATTTGAAAAATGCACGGTTTATTAACTTACCAAAAAATACATACGTTACAAATACTTACGTTATCAAAAGAATGTTACCCATATCCTTGTATTACGTTTTTCCCAAATGATGTACCACATTGCTTGATGTTTAAAGTAAGAAAATATTGGTTCTAAATACAGATGTTTAATCAATATCAATATAGTACATGTATATCATTAAATCTTAAAGAGTCCTGACATTTTCGGATGCCTACGTAACATTCGGTAACGTAGGTATGAACTGAGCCTTTATCATCTTTTTAAAAATTAAAATACAACATGTATTATGTTTTTATAAATGGGAGTTAAGTTGACTTTAAATATACCTTTTTAAATGATAGTTAATCTCATAAACTTTATTATCTACATACCTAATACTTTTTTATTAATTACAGAATCTTTGATCTGTTTTGTGCTTCCCTATTTATAAATGTTCCCCAGTTTATTTATATAGATGACCGAAATTGTTAATTAGGGTACGAATACAAATTGATTGTTCTATACCATAAAAGATAAACATAACAATTGCAAGATTTTAAACTTTAACCCAACAAAACATATCATATCTTTTATCCTAGTTAGTGACGTATGTATCGGTTTTAACGTTACGACAATAACGTAACATTTTATGATTTGTGTTAAATTCTGATTCAGTTACTAGTATAGTCTGGATTTTCAAAATGGTATTTAAACTTATCCACATCAAGTATTTAAACAATGAATTCTAATTAGAATTGATAGTATCCAAAATATGTTATTAGTTAATACTTACGTTACTTTTGACGCACACAACTTCTGAGGCCGTATACTTTCGTGAAAAAAAAAAAACTTATTATGATTGTTCTTAAATTCATTGATTTTTCCATCGTCAATTTATTTTAATTTGATAGAGATCATGATTTTCATTTAAACAATCAAAAGTAATACAGTATTATAACAAACTACATTATCTATGAATTATTAATAGTGTTTTTCAGTTGTCCTACAAAACAGGTTTACTGACTCTGGCACCTTAAATAGCACATATAATTGGCCTTGCATCAAATAAAAACTATATTCCAGCATATGAATATCTTCCAAAGAAGTCAAAATGCCATAACTACTTTACTTCCTTAAGCAATAAATAGAGTAACGTAGATATTGGGGTGATTTTAAAGAGAAAATACCTAGGATTTCAATTTGGTATAATTTTTTCATCAACAAATTGGTGCTATAGATTTTTTACCATATAACTCAGACATATATGGAGTCAACTTTGCAGACAAAATATTGAGCGTATACTCAAGTGGAATTTTAAGTCAGAAATATACAGTAATTGCACATTATTACTGAGAATGGGTGATATGTGTATTTAGTAAATACTATATACGAATAACTGTGGCTTTTTTGCTAGTTACCCAGGTAGGAAAAAGAGTACATCTAGAGTCAAACACCTCCGTATTCCTGTCTTCTGACAGCATCTATTTTTTTTTCTTGCTTTGAAGGCATTTCATAATTAAAATAGCGTGCGTGAATGATAAGCATAATTTCTTTTTTATATTTGACTGCACAAGTGTCTCTGTGTTAATCTAATGCTTTGGAGAACTTTTTCTTATGCTTTTTTGAAATTAAAAAAGCAACTAAGAAATAAATAAATCAAACCAAAAAAGGAAAGAATTAAACAGAAATCATTTATAAATAAGTGACAGTAAATTAACCAAACTGTTCTTCTTTTATATAGATCCTACAGTCATGCTGAAAGAAAGAAAAAATACGAAAAGCGCTTTAAAAAATGTAACCAAACATATGCAATTATCACATGTATATATCACTTTATTATAGTGGAGAGCGATAACTTTGACTGTTTTGTAATCTTGACTGGTATTAAAATTTTAAAATCCATGTATAAATATTTATATATAAACACGTATGTACATGTTCTTTGTCAAATATTTCAAAGTCACGTGGGTTTGTATTATAATGTCATTTTAGTTTATCAAAATAAAAAAGCATTGTTTTTTTTTAATTTATTTCTTATGATAGTAGTGTCATATTGTAAATTTAATATGTACAGTCCTTCCATCATACATGATACATTAATATCATGCATGATACATTATTATCACACAGGGCTCTGTACATGTACAGAGTATAAAGAACCCTCAATTATTGCTTTCCCCGTCATCGATCAATCAATCTGGAAAAAAAACTTGCTGAATTATAAATAAATTAATAAATATCTACTTATCCTTGTTTTTTTTTATCTTTAATATTTAAAATATTTATATCACCTATACTGCTGAAAAATAAACTTCCAAATAAAATCCATACGTTTAGATGTGAACAAAGCAGTGTGTTCGAGTGGATTATTCTGTAAACGTATGCATCAACTTAAAAGAGTACTTAAAATGAAAATGGGTTTTCACTGTACT